ATGATAAATATTGCAATGAACATGGTTGTGCTGATTGGTTTACTTTGGCCTTTTTTGTGTTCTATTGGATAAATGCCCAAAAATGGAAGACCAGATGAATAGAATTGTATCAAACTCAAAATTTTATTCATTGTAAAGTACATAGCTAACAAGATAAATAAAAATCCCACAGAATGGAAGAATTTTACCAGTGATGCCTAATATCCAAGGGCCTAATATACAAAATATACTTATAGCTAAAAAATTAAACTTGCCCAAAAATAAACCATCAAAGAAACAACAACCCAATTAATAAATGGGCTAACAATTTAAAGAGAGCCTCCTCAGGAGAACTAAGGATGGCCCATAAACACATAAAGAAGTGCTCACCATCTCTTGGCTATAAAAGAAATGCAAATGAGATTTCAGGTCCCCCACAGTTACAACGTCCAATATCAAGAAAATTAACAATAACAAATGCTGACATGAATGTGGTCAAAAGGGAACTCCATTACATTTTTGGTGGGAATGTAAATTTGTTCAACCATTCTGGAAAGCTTTATGGAGGTTCTTCAAAAGACTAAACAGAGCTACCCTTTGACACTGAGCTCTAGGGTCTTGGACATGGAAATACTTGGTTTATTTAGACATAAGGGTATATCATGTATAAATAGGAATAGTTTTATTTCTTCCACCCCTATTTGGTTCCCTTTATGTCTTTCTCTGGCCTTATTACTCTGGCTAAGAATTTCAGTATTATCTTGAAAAGGAGTGTCTTCATCTTGTTCTTGATTTTATAAGAAATGATTTTAGATTTTCACCATCAAGTATAATGTTAGCTCTAGGTTTGTGGTAAAAGCCTTCATTATTCCCAGTTTCTCCAGGGCTTTTATCACAAATGGATGTTAGATCTTGTCGAGAGCTTATTTTTCTGTCTATTGAAATAATTAAATATATGATTTTTTGTCTTTGTTCTGTTAAGTATTGAATTACATTTATCAAATTACATATAAAGTCCCAGACTTATATGTCTTGGACAAAATCTGATTGATCATAATACATGTTTTTTTAAATTAATTTGTTGATTGGCAAGTATTTTATTAAGAAGTTTTGAATCTTTCTTCATAAAAATGATTGATCTATAAGTTCTTTTTGTTATTGAATCTGTTTGGGGGATTCGTATGAGGCTGGCTTCATAGAATAAATTTGGTTGTGATCTCTCTTTTTCTATTTCAGAGAAAATGGATGAGTACTTGTGTTAGTTCTGCCTTATAGTTCTTATAGAATTCAGTTGTGAATTCATTGGGGCCTGAACTTTCTTTGTTGATATGTTTTTTTTATTGTCATTTCAATTCATTACATGTTATGGATCTGTTTAAGTGGTTTATAACTTATTGGCTCAGTTTCATTACATTGATTTTATCTATGAATGCATCCATTTCTGTCATATATTCCAGTTTGCTGGCATAAAGATTTGCAAACTCTTCCCTTGAAACATTTTGAATTTTACACATACCTGTTGTTTTGTCCCCTTCCTCATATCTGATTTTATTTATTGGGTGACTTCTCTTCTTCCTTTGATCAGGTTTGCTAAGGGCTTATCAGTTTTGTTATTTTTTCCAAAGAACCTACTCTGTTTTGTTCATTTATGGTATAGTTGTTTTAATCTCTCATTTATTTCTGATTTGGTCATTAGTATTCATTTTTATATGCTGGCATGTGATTGACTTGCTCTTGATTTCCTACAGTCCTGATGTTAGACATCAGGGTACTAATTTGATATTTCTCTAGTTTGTTAATATAGGTGCTCATAGCTATAAACATTCATGGAGCAATGTTTTGTTCAATTTCCATTAGTTTGAGTATTTTATCTGGTGACTTTGGCTGTCAAGTTCTAATTTTATTCTGTTTTGTTCTGGCAGGATATAAACAGAAATTTCAATTCATTTAAATTTTCTCATACATGCTTTATGAACTAGCATATGGTCTATTTTGGAGAATATTCCATGGACTGCCATAAAGAATTTGTATTATATAATCCACAAATTTCTTTTATTTACATGAATTAAAAATTGTGTCATAAAAAATGCTAGATATTCTTATATCCCAAACAAGTACACACTAGTCAAATCATCAGTGTATTTAAGATGATATATTGTTCTTAGTATTAAACCCTATAAAACATCTCCTGCATTTATCATTATGCCATTATAGAGGCCTGAGGTCATAATCACATTTGAAAATCTCTATTCCAAGTCTGGTTTGCATATCACCATTCAAAAATGAGTCATTTGGGCATTATGGATCCTTATCTAGGAATTTCAATTACTTGACAGCCAGATCAATGGTATTGCTTCTAATTCCAGGATATATCTTTTGTTATAATAACTTGTTTCTTTAAATTATAGCAATAAGTGAACTAAACAGAGGTTATCAACACAATGATATAAAAATTACACTTACCTTTTTCAGTATCCTTAGTAGTTATGGATGATTCAGCTGAGTGACATTTTATAAATTCTAAAATAATTAAAATATCTGTTACTATAAAATTCAAATGGCATTTAAATATTCTAATTGAGTTTAAATGGCTTAGTTCTCTTTGATATTTGCATACATTGATTTTACAAAAAGGTTTCATAATGGTATTTCCATTCATGCACTTAATCAAATTTCTCCCCTCCACTACTCTTTCTTATTCTCCCTCCCTCTTCTGTTTTTGAAACATTATAGTTTGTATTTCAATAATCTGATAAGAGAAATTTAAAAACATAACCAATTCTAGATCCTTCCAATCAGACAACTAAATAGTAATATCTCAAGTGTGAAATCATCACCTTTTCATGAAAGTAATCATAATCCTTTTTTGTGTAATACTGGGGGTCAAATCCAGGAATTTGTAAATTCTAGATAAGGTTTTTAAAACAGAACTAAACTATAGTCCCTGCTTCCCTCTTTTATTGATTTGTATTTTTGATAGTATTATCAATTTCATTTTATTTTTTTTCTTTTCTTTCTTTCTTTCTTTTTTTTTTTTTGGTCATGGTGTTTGAACTCTGGGCACTGTCCCTCAGCTCTTCAGCTCAAGGCTAGCACTTTACCACTGGAGCCACAGCTCTACTTCTGGTTTTCTGAGTGGTTTATTGGAAATAAGAGTCTCAAGGCCTTTCCTGCCCAGACAGGCTTTGAACCATGATCTTCAGATCTCAGCCTCCTGAGTAGCTAGGATTATAGGTGTGAGCCACCAGTACTTGGCTTTCATTTTCTTTTTGTTTTTTATTTTTTATTTTTTTGGGGGGGGATCCGGTCATGGGGCCTGAACTCTGGGCCTGTGTGCTGTCCCTCAGCTCTTCAGCTCAAGGCTAGCACTCTACCACTTGAGCCACAGCACCACTTCTGGCTTTTTTTTTTTGCTGAGAAATTGAACCCAGGGCCTCATCCATGAAAGGCAAGCTCTTTACCACTGAGCCACCTTCTCAGCCCCCAGTTTCTTTTATAGTTAATGACTAAATTTTACCAATCACAGCAAGTAAATATTGTCAAATTTTTCCTATTTTTTCTCTTGTATTAGTGATCTATCATTGGTATTTACCACCTACCAATGAAAAAATAAAATTCTCTATTTCTGACTTTCTACCCAAATTTAGCCCTTATAAATTGATCAAAATTATTTTAAATAAATCTGTCCTTTCTGATAAAGAAATGTTTTAGTGCTTCCTTGTGAAAAGTGAAATATCCAATATTTTTATAGAAAGATCCTCCCCTACTTTCACCCTTTTAATAAGCACTTTATAATATACCAATTTATTTGTAAATGTGTATCCATCCAGTTTGTTTGTGCTATTATGAATTTTTCTAAAGTAACAAATAATTTTGTCTCAGACATATACTAGTTATTGAAAATAAGGGAAACCATGGGACCTATGTTTCTTTGGGCCTGGCTTACTTCACTTAATATAATTTTTCCAAGTCTTTCCATTTCCTAACAAATGGGGCAATGTCATTCTTTCTGATGGAGGCATAGAATTTCATTGTGTATATATACCACATTTTCTTGATCCATTCATCTACTGAGGGGCATCTGGGTTGGTTCCATATCTTAGCTATGGTAAATAGTGCTGCAATAAACATAGCTGTACTGGTGGCTTTAGTGTGGTCTTGTTTGTGATCATTTGGGTAAATGCTCAAAAGTAGGATGGCTGGGTCACAGGGGAGCTCTATGTGGAAACGGTCAATAAGTTGATGTTAGGCAAAATGAACCCCAAGATAAGGACTCAAATGGTTTTTCTTCCTTGCTATTGTTTCTTACATATTTATGAGATGAGTTTTTTGTTGCTTCCTATGCTCCTCCCCTATGGTATAACCCCTGTTTTCACTGTATTTGATGTTGGTATAATTTGTGGACGGGAAGGGAAAAAACAATTTGTTTAAATAGGGATACAGGTGGACCCATTGCAACAATGAGATGTACAAGATGCTATGTCGAAAAACAAACTTTACAACTTTGGTGGGAAGGGAGGGGCAGGCGGGAGGGTGGGGGGAGAGATGGGAGGGCAAAGATGGTAAGGGGAAACAAAGGAAGAGACAATAATGCTTGATAAGAAATGTACTCACTACCTTGCTCATGTAACTGTAACCCCTCTGTACGGTATTTTCATAATTAAAAAAATATTATTTAAAAAAATAAAAAAACAAACAATTTTGTCCTTCACTTGACTACACAAAAGAATCCTAATTGTCTCAGTTTGAATAAATTCCATCTTTATATGAACTCACTGAAAAGCACACATAACTTTATCATGCCTTATACCACAATTAAATGAGTGATATGCTTGTATCCTTTTTTCAACTTGAATTTACAGAGTCTGGAATATAATACAATGTATAAGAATATCAAACTCATTACCAAATGTTTCCTGTGTATTATTGTATAATTTTGTAACTCTAAAAATTAAAACCATAAGCCCCAAGTGATAAAATATTTAGGCAGTCCCAAGAATGTAAAACAAATTTATAAAACATTAATATTCACCTTCAATTTGTTGTCGTAAACTCTCATAACTTTTCTTCTTTGCTAACAAATTTTCATATTCTCTGTCAAAGCATTAATAAACATGTTTTAATATATCAAAAATAAGAGTTTAAATCATACATCATGAAAATTGAAGGAATGACACAGATCAAGATGCAAGTACACAAAAACTTCTTTGTTAAATGGCAAAAAAATTCAATACATCACCTAAAATTTAATGAAAGTGATGGAAGAAGTGTGTTGGGAGGGGTGAGTGAGAATGTTGAAAGGGGCAACATTGTTCAAGATGCACTGTTTTCATACACTGCTTTGGTGAATGGCAACTCCTTTGTACAACTACTCAAAGATAATAAAATATTTTTCAAAACACAAAATGCATGCAAACTGCACCATTACTTTAAAAAAAGATGATAAAACCAGTCAAAAAACTAATAAAATGCATAAGATTCTTTAATCAAGTAAAACATATAAGTAGAATTAGGCTAGACATTTAAGTTCCTGAAATGAAATAATTTTTTTTAAATTTTACTCATAGTTATCATTGGAATACACTAATAATATTCATTAGAGTAATTCTATGGATTCTGTGTATATTATGAATATAATTAGTCACATTCACAACAATAATAGCAAAAATAATGAAAAACAAATTGGCAGAAACAAGAGATTTATTTTTGCTAATGTGAAGCTGCCAGCATTGTTATAGTTAACCTCTCTGACTTAACCGCTCTAAACTTCAATTTCCTCATCTATTGAAATACATGTAAAATGTTATCATATTTATGAGGAAGCAGTTGTAAATATAACAGGAGAATTTACATGTAAAGTTTGTAGAAAAATACCTAGCAACCACCCAACAGTAAAATATCAAGTATGAATATATAGCTCATTTGAATTTACCTCTGAATTCAAGATTTAGTTATTCAAGTCACATGATAGTCATCTCATAGATACATAGAGATATCAGTAAACTATTTTTGCCAACTGCCTGTGGCTTATGCCTATAATCGTAGCAACTAAGGGTTTGAGACTTGAAGGATCTGGGCTCAAAGCCTGACTAGGTGTAAAAGTCCATGAGCTTCAACTCCAATGAAGAATCAAAATGCCAGAATGGAGATGTGGCTTAAATGGTAGACCATCAGCTATGAGCAATAAAGCAGAGTGAGAATGCGAATCTCCGAATTCAAAATAAGATATTCTCACAATAAATTATGAAATTAATTTAAGTAACAAAAAAGTAATATCTTACTAAAAAGCAGCCCCCCAAACTCTGGGCTTTTTGCTTTAATAGTATGAAACATTGTGCATAATATCATGTATATATTATGTATTTGTTAGTTCATAACAATGTGTAAAATGATTATTTGTAAATGAAAATTTTAAGTTGGTTATATAATTTGATAGATATTCAGGTTTAAGTGAATATTCATTAGGCCTTATTTTCCTATTTGTTATGAACAACACATTTATTAACTTGAGATCCTATAAGCTATCTATTTTAAAGCCAGTTGAGTTGAATAAAATTCTTATTAATAAAAGTACAGCTACTAAGGATTTGAAAAATTATTAATGGAAACAAAAAGTTCATTCCAATTGAACTGAATTTAAAATTATAAACTCTGGGTAATGGGTACTCCACTGTATACTGACATCTATATTCTTAAAATTATCAAACAAAACTGAGTAAATATTCTAACTTTGTTTAGAAGCTCTATACATAGTAGTAATATCCAAACCACAGTCTTTCATTTTATTCTTACTATCTGTCCCCTGTTATATTTTATTTAATTATTCATCAACTTACATGGATTTCTGGATGTATTTAGGTGCGTGTTTAACATAATTTCTTAGATGTTCTAGTTTTCCTATTAGCTTTCCTAATTGTGAATAGGCCAAAGCAGGTCTTTCATCAAATGTAAGATCGTCTGCAAAATTTTGATCTCTACTTATCTAAGACAGTAAAATTAACAAGTTAGTTAGAAAATATCCATTTTTATATCATACCTCAAAGACATTTTATTATTTTCCTTAACAAATATAATTAGCTTTTAAGTATTATTGCTATTTCTAGATGTAATCAAAGCTGGTGTCACATTTTCTGTATATATTTCTACGGGTATTTATCAATAGCACTAAAGCTAAATGAGGCTCCACATCAAATATTCAGTTTACTATTTTGATATATAGAATTTTAAAGAAACTCAACTCAAAATAACTAGAAAAATTCTAAAGTAGTTGCTTCACTTAAATTCTATTATCCACATTATCATAATTATAGAATACAATTGTTTTTTCTAAAAAGTCTATAATGTTCAACTACTAGATCCAAGAAGTTAATATGTATCTATGGAGCTGCCGATCTTTGGTCTGTACTGGTAAACCTGGGTCCTTTTGTTTATCAGGGTTTTTTAAATAGAGCTAAAAAGAAACTAGTGGTGAGGAGAATTAGTATGATTCATAGACCAGGATGACACAGCATGATTAATAGTTTAGATCATAAGTTCACTAGAAAAAACATTTGATCATTTTTGTTGTGGATTTATACATTGAAAAAGTTGTGATGCAAAATTAGAAGTATACTTGTTTATTAAAGATTTCCTCTGGAAATTAACTGATTATTTGGGAATTTCAGCATAATAAAGATGATGCTAATGAATACTAAATGCATATAAAATGAGAAAAGCAATTTGTGGTTGGGTTGTTCATTACACAAAACCAATCAAATTGCTTCTCCTTTATCTAATTGGAGAAGTGATACTACCATTCACCAAGATAGGAAATATTGAAAAAGGATTAACCTTGGTACTAGTTTTGCCCCATTGAATTTGAGATAGAACAAATATGGAATTCAACGTTCTATTTTGAGCTAGAAGAGTTTGCTTATAAATCACCAGCACAAAGTTAATAATTCATGAACTAGAAAATTGAATGAAGTTACCCATGTGTAATGTTTGGAGGAAAAAATAGGTAGCCATAAAATGAGATCTTGAGGCATGCCAATATTTACTGGTTTGGTAAAGGAGATAACTTTGGAAAAGATTGATCCAAAAAGTCTAAGCAATAGCCACAAGAGCGTAAATTGCAGAAAATAAAAGAATGGAGTTTTCAAAATGAGAAATTGATCAATAATCACTAGGAATGCGGTCAAAAATAAAGTCTACTGAATTCATTAACAAAACTGTTCAGGAACAATATGGAAATTATTTTATTTTGAAGACATAATTCAAATATGTGTAGGTTGAAATGTACTTTGGAATTAAGAACACATTATACTAAATTAATATAGAAATTAATTCAGCTATACACCTATTATAAGAACATGATAGCTGACTTCTAATTGTAAATATCCATAAACAAGTAAAATGCTATCTTTTGATACATTTGTAGGCTCTTATTAAGGACAAAATTCCCAGATTATCATTTTCTATGCTGCCACTATCAACTGAATAAAAATTTTAAATAAAACCAATTGCTTTACTGCCAAAATATTACCTACTATTTCTCTCCACTCACTTATAAATCTGGAGTTTTGTTTATACCCAACTATAATCCAATGTCTCTTTCCCTAATATGAGTAAGTTTACATGCAAATTTTTAAAAATTAGATAATAAAAATTGCAGTTACAGATATAGGCTTGAAATGGAGAAAAACATATCATAAACAAGAGAAAAATATAAAATTTAAAGCTAAAGGGGCCAGGCACCTGTGGCTCCTGCCTAGAAACTCAGGATGCTGAGATCTGAGGATCACAGTTTGAAGCCAGCCGAGGGAGGAAAGTCCAATAGACGCTTATCTCCAATAAACTACTCAGAAAAAGCAGGAAGTGGCACGTTGGCTCAAGTTATAGAGCACTAGCCTTGAGCACAGGGAGACTCAGGAACAGATCCCAGGCCCTGAGTTCAAACCCCAGGGAAAAAGAAAACTAAAAGGAAGGATACATATGATTTAGACACAATTAATATACAAGGAGAATCAAAACAAGAGAAGAACCAATTAAATAAGCCAATATCCTACAACAAGATACAGGAAGCTATCAAAAGTCTTCCAACAAAAAAAAAAAGCCTACGACCAGATGGATTCACAGCAGAATTCTATAAGACCTTTAAAGAAGAACTAATACCCATACTCCTCAAGCTCTTCAGAGAAACAGAGAAGGATGGAGCTATCCCAAACTCATTCTATGAAGCCAATATCACACTCATCCCCAAACCAGGCAAAGACCCAACCAAAAAAGAGAATTACAGGCCAATTTCCTTGATGAACACAGATGCAAAGATCCTTAACAAGATTCTAGCTAACAGAATCCAGAAACACATAAAAACAAAAGAAGAAAAGTCCATTACAAAATGAAAGAAAATCTTAAGTATAAAATGAATACAAGAGGGAGGGGGACCGAGATAGTGACAAGACAGTAGGGAAACACAACAGCTCTCTCCAACCAACAAGAGAGTTCAAGTTCTGATGCTTAATTTCCCCAAGAGACTGACAACAACAAAAATATGAACACCCAAAGAAAAACAGGAGGCAGAAAAAAAAAAGAAAGGAAGAAAAGGAAGAATTTCAGAATGGAAAAGCATGCAGATCCTTTCCCTAAGTCTTGCTGGTGCAGCAATGCCAAACCGCAGCCAGCCCGGCCTGGCAGGGACTGCCGGAGCCCTCAAAGACAAAGGGGGTCATTTGTAGATCACCTACGCAGAAGATACCTGAGGTACCAGCACTGGCCCGGCTGATTGCAGAGAACAGAGAAACTTTGGAGCTGGGAGCCTGCACAAAGACCCCTCTCCCACCCCTCCCCCGTGGAGCTGAGTGTCTCCATCCTGCCAAAACCACTTGGCCCCATGGCCCCACAGGGGGATCCCCAAAACTACAGGTGTCTGTCTGCACAACACCAGTGCAGAACACCCTCAAGTTACTGGTGCTGATCCAGAGAGCGCAAACAGAGACAAACCTCAGCGCTCAGAACCTGCACGGAGACTCCCTTCCCCACCCCTCAGCCAGAGGCCAGCACAGCCAGCTCAGCTGACCCAGACAGCAGCAACAGAGGACTAGATGGCAGAAATACTGACACAGAGCTGCTGACACAGAGCTGTCACTGCCAAGCCCAGCCCATAAGCACCTCAACCAAATGCAGAGTGCAGCAGCAACCAGCGGCCTACATCACACAGCAACAACAGCTAGAGAGTTCCCAACTAGCTCCAGGGTGAGTACCCTGTAGGGTACAGCATATCCCCTCTCAAGGGAGACCAGAGCTGGCGTAAACCCCCAGATCTTGAACCAGACCCCTGCCCCAACACCTGGACTACAGGGCCCACTAAAACTGGGAACTCTTCGAGAGCTCTACCAGCCTGTGGAGCACAGCCAGCCAGCCAGGCTAGATCAAGAGTGCCCCTGGAAGGGAGCTTAAACACCCAAGCTGGGAACAGTGCCTGTGGATCACAACAACCAACAGTGGAAGAAACCCAAACTCTGTACTCCAGGCTGTGTAACCCAGGCAGATACCCAGCAGCAGAAGTCCCCAGCAGGGGACCGGGAGCCAGGACCAGGCCTGAGGATCAGGTGCCTGAGCAACACAAACAACTTCTCCTGATTGAAGTCAGAAGTTGAGCACACACCTCATCAGATGGGGGAAAGAAGAGAAACGCACCCCGGGGAATTGTGCCCATGACAGCAAAAGTCCTGTGTGTCCAGTGCAGGAAAACCAGAAGCCCAAACCCCACCAAAACTTTACCTGTACATCCCAGGCTAGGGATTGGACAACTCTGGCCTCCAGCACCTAATAATAGTCAGGATCTCAGGCTGATAAGCTGGCTCAGTGGTAGAATGCTTGCCTTGCATGCATGACGCCCTGGGTCTGACTCCTCAGCACCACATAAGCAGAAAGGGCCAGAAGTGGCAATGTGGCTCAAATGGGTAGGGCTATATCCTTGAGCTGAAGAGCTGAAGGACAGTGCCCAGGCCCAGAATACAGGCACACGACTGACCAAAAAGAATAAATGAATAAAAAAAATCAGGAGCTCATAGCAGACTCCAGCAACTGGGAGAGTACATCCAGCACACCCAATCTCGCCCAGAGCACCTGTAAGAGTAAACAGGAGCAGTCTAGGCAGCTCAATCCTTCTAAAGGCAGGAACTGACAGTGATCTACAGACAGCCTAGAGCCCTACATGGGTCAGACTAGCAGCTGGAATTGGGCCTTTCCCCCAACAGAACAGAGACCAGGTATAGATTCTTTCAGCCAACCCAGGGCTAAGAACAGGCTTCATTAATTGATCAAGGAACCAACCCTGAACCAAGTAAAGACAGCCACCTCTTGACCAAAGCAGTTAAACTGAGGTTTTACCCCTAAAATGACACAGTACACGTTCTTCTCAGAAGCTCATGGAACTTTCTCCAAAATAGACCATATCATAGTTCATGCAAGAACTTAAGCAAATACACGGGGATTGACATAATCCCCTGTATCCTGTACGACCACAGTGGAATCAAGCTAGTTCTCAAAAACAAAGCATACTGCAGCAATTACTCAAATACATGGAAATTGAACAGCACACTTCTGAGCAACACCTGGGAAACAAGAAATTAAAGAAGAAATAAAAAGTTCCTTCAATACAATGAAAATGAATATACATCACAAAGAAACCTGTGGGACACAGCAAACGCAGTCCTGAGGAGCAAATTTATCACCCTCAGTGCCCACATCAAGAAAATAGAGAAAGACCAAGTAAATAATCTTATGTTGCAATTAAAACTGCTAGAAAAACACGAAAAAATGGAACATAAAGTTACTAAATGGAGCCAGATAACCAAATTAAGAGCTGAAATTAACAAGATAGAGAATAGGAAAACTATAAATAAAATTAATAAAAACAAAAAAACTGGTTTTTTGAAAAAATAAATAAAGTTGATGGACTTTTGGCAAGACTAATTAAGAAGAGAGGAAACCCAAATC